CGCACGAACTTTCAGTACACGTACCAAACTGTGATACAGCGCATTGGCAATCCATAACCAGAACACACTCTTCGTGAAGAACACGTTCTGCTGGCCCAGCATGTACAACTGCGGATATCGGTCCAAGACCCGCGCAGACACAAACTGATCAAAAATACCGATGACAAAAGGCGGAAGGACAGTAAACAGGACATTATAGAATGTGATTGTCCAAGATTCGTAGGCAATCTGACCAGAAAAATTGTTGAAGAACGAGTACTGAAGGGGAAGTCAGCGCCTCGATCTCGAATCCAAAAGCTCTAGGACACACCCAAAATTGAGTCATGTAGAGGCAAATGTTCTTGTAGAATGAGTCTAGTAATACAAGGCGATTAGTGTCAGTACATGACACGAAAACGCTTGTCAAGAGAAGACGGACACAATATAAGCTTGGATAACCGCTGATAACTCCAAGCTCCATGGACGAGTAGGAGCTTTTTGAGGTAACGAAACTGGGATATTGCCACGTCAGCAGATCGGGCAGCTTGAAGACCCTACGACCAAAACAATTTACAGTTGGGTTATCATACATCAGCTACACGACGTACCTCAAGTCCTGATATACCTACTCCAACGTGTGCGGCCTGAATCATGCTCACATCATTGGCGCCATCACCTATTGCAAGAAGAATCGAGTCTTGGTTCTTCTTCACTAGTTTCACAACAAGGGCTTTCTGAAGGGGAGAAACACGGCCTTCCGAGAGTGCTCAGCTACAGAACCATCGCGATCTTGTAATGGACGTACAACAGATGACAGCCTTGCAAAGCAGCGCAAGTTCAAGGAAGGACTTGGATAGCTCTTTTTGGAGTGCAAAACCGAGACTTTTTCCATCTGCAAACCAGGCTATAGGAACCAACAAATGCAAGCACCGGAAAATGACCCACCAATGATAAGCGCAAGATCCTCCAGTTCTCCGGTACTCCGTTGGTTTTTAATAGCCGAAAGCCGCTTGGATATGAATTCGCTGGTATCATGGGATGTTTCCTCGTTCACAATGACCTTGCAAGGCTCTCAATTTCAGCAAGGCAAGAAGTGGCTCGCCGACTCACCAAATTCATAGACTCTGCAATTAGTCTACAGGACATGCCAATGTTTATCGCTGTCTCTTGCCGATCGCCTGTTAATACCCAAACCTTCATATCCCGACTAAGAACACTCCAGGGTCGATGTTCTATCGCTGACGTACCTTGATTCCCGCCATCTGCAACGTGTGGATAGTATCTGGGACGCCTTCCTGAAGTTTATCCTCGATTGCCGTCGCGCCAAGTAATATGAGATCCTTCTCAATAAGTTCTGCTGCCTTGTCGAGTGCTTCGGTGCGCCCGCTGAGCGTCGCAGCGGCCTGATTGTATATCGTCGACCACTGACGATACTCAGCTTCAGGGACGTCGCGATAGGCTATACAGAGCGTGCGCAACCCTTCTGTCGCGTAGTCCTTTCAAATGAAGAGAAAATTGAAGGGATCTGTATGAAGTAAAATACTGCAGAACCGACTTCTTACCTCAAGATGTGAAAGCGTTTTCTCAGTAAATGTTTGGTGCTTCCCAAGACGTTCAAGGATTACCGTGTCGGCGCCTTTGCAGTACAATTTGATCTTGCCGTCGGGTGCGCGAACAACGGTTGACATGCGCTTTCGCGATGAGTTGAACTCGCATACATTCAGAATCTCGTACTCGACAGGGGAACCGCGAACGTTGATAAAGGCGGAGCGTGGCTTGCGAGTCTAATGGCCCACTCACAGAAGATTGTTGCAAAATAGTTTTATCAGCCAGGTGCCTGTAAAAAAAAGAGTCCTTACATGGAATTGATACTCCAGAAGCTCCGCTCCAGCCACGAGGGCTGCCTCATCGGGACTACTTGCCTGGTAGTGAATTTTACCGTCTCGTACCTCAGGTATCACGGTATGGCAAACTGCCAAGAGCGTCATAAATTCATGAGCAACTGCTGTTGCACGCTCGCGCTCTTGTTCGCCGCCGCTTGCAGAACGTTCCATGTCACTCCTCCCACTGGAACCCTCCAACAACGCACGAAGATCTGCAAATGTCCTCCACGTTTCTCTTCCATCTTCCTCGCTAGCGCGCCCCTCATCCACCTCCTCGGCGTATGGTATTCCCCCGATACTGGCCGCCCGAAACACCATTTCGTTCCTGGTCAACGTTCCTGTCTTATCTGCAAATACGAACTCGACACGCCCGAGGTCCTCTACCAGAGAAGACGTTCTCACGACAGCCGGCGTGTCGCGCACCTCGTAGTACATGTCAAGGTCGGCGCTGATGAGTGCGGCGTGCTGGAGTCTCACAACCTCAGTTGTAACAATGAGGGATATTGGAATGAGGTTATTATAAAGGATGATAAACGTGAGAATATCTTGGACGTCAATGTGGAGATCGCAATGGAAGAAACCGAGGTGTCAGCATGTTCGCCACACGGCACATGGGAGGAGCTAACCTTCGGCAAAGGCCTTGGCTACAAAAGATTAGCACGAGGATAGGAGCACTGATGATGTTGCATACCTCGACCGGTAAATGAGCTGGTTTGGAATAAATACCATTGCTGAGTCGATAAAAACCACTACCACGAGTAAGTGTTGCGGTTGCGTCAGTAGAAGAAATATACGTAGCATTCAGGCATTGTTCACGACACTTACGGTATTTATGGAAGCGCCGATTGTTGAACCGATCGAGAGCGCAAGGAGGAAGCCAAACAAGAAGATAATATGCACGTTGACCTGCTTTTCCACTGCCGTACGCTTGATAGGGGCAGCGCTATCGGGCAGCAAGCACGAATGCACATCAGAAAGACCACCACATGTCAGTTCCCAGGACTCACGTTGCGTTACGCATCAACTTCGTTTCATGACCAGTGAAAACGACCAGCCCGTAAACCCAAGGCGTATTACGAAGTTGTGCTCCTCGAAGCAAGAGCTGGTCTGGACCTAGCGGGACCTGCTTTGGCATGCCGGCATCCGTCACGAGGTCAAGGGTTCCCTCGTACGTATAAAGCGAATTGTTGGGTTGTTCGGAGCGCAGAGAGCCATGAAGACGACCAACCAGCGCGGGAGAGGTAAGAGAAGACGTTTGAGGTGAGGCCTGCTTAATTTTGAGGTTCGTCTCCCTGAGTAAGAATGAGCGACCTGGCTAATGAAGATATCAGTACTAAACCATACCCGTCGAGATTGGAGGTCTCGATATAACAGAGACCCTCGGGTTCCGAGGAAGAAATGAGAACGAGATCAGCGGGAATAAACTCGTCGGATTCGACTCTGACGATGTCGCCCACCCGAATGTCCCTCCACGGACGCGGGTCAAACCCTAATGATTCATTCAAGACCTTGGCGCCACGAGCGTTGAGTTCAGAATCCGAACGATGGCGTTTCTGGGAAAATGTTGAGATGAATATCACTGGTGACGAAGAAAGCGCAGACCATATCTTCCTGTACTTCCTTGAAAGCAGAGGCAAGGAGCACAACGGCTAATGGGGCGATAGTCGTATACTGGTTGGTCGGCGAGACACCAGGTATTTGTTGTATACAGGCGGTAAACAAAAAGAACACGTTTGCATACTTGGAGAATTGCTCTGCATATGGCATAAGCAAATGGGAATCGGATCAAAGACTCAAAACCACCTTTGAGAAACTTTGGGGTGAATGTAACGACATTGTACTTGCTTGTCGAAACGAAGTTCGAGCAAAAATCGATATTCATAGCAGAATTGTTGAGGACAATTACGCGTTCGCCTGTAGGCTGTATCTCCTTTTCCCAAGGCCATCTCCACTTCCACTTCTTTCGTCTGCGAATCGTATGTTTCCTTTGGGCCGACGGTGCCCCCGGAAATGACGCGTTTCCCGGAAACGTAGCTTGGCTCTCGAAATTCCAACCGTATGGTTGCCCAGCACCGTGCGTAGGTAACGATGGGGACGGCGAGTCCAGCCCCGCAGGTGGGGCAGCTGCATGGGTGAGAGGAAGGCCGCTTTCCTGGGACTGCATGGGACGTGGGGTGGTGGCCGGAGACAAGTCCAGAAGATCTTCGTCATCATCGAAGAAAGGATCCATCAAACTGGGCGCGGGTTGAGACCGAGACTGTGCATTCGCGAATGGTGGATAAGTAGGAGGATGTTGACTGCTTGAACCTTGAGCTGGAGAAGTGGACTTGTAGGCTGCAGGGTTAGCAGCATTGACCAAGGCAACGAAGGATTCCTCGCTGTCCATGGTAAAGTTGACGTGTCCTCGGGCGGACTGCGATCGAGACAGACAGCGTAGGATGCACCTTGGCGACGGGTCAGTCACCTAGTATTTTGACCGAGTGCGAGCTGCGCAAGTCGTTGCTAATACTGTTCGCGCCACCTCACAGCAACATATACATTAGTACATACACGTTTTTACTCGAGTCCCAGTACTTCAGAAATCGCAACAATGGCCCATCTGAAGGTAACTCTGCATGTAGTCGCATGCAGACACAGCTGTTGACGTCGTTTACTCTACCCATGAAAGGTAGGGCCTCACTCAGTCGACTCTGCCCCTGAGGGTCGTCCTTTACTCACCCATCCAGCCGCCGTTTCCGAGTCGTCGCCTTGCTTTTTTCACCAAGTACCTCCTTGTACTCATCTTCTTATTCCTACTCTCTGGCTCCAGTGAATCCCGCATTCTTCTTCGACTTGTGTTGCCAGTACTCCGAAGGACAGCATGGGCTCCCACCACCACTCTAGGTGGTAAACTTGATCTCGAAGACGACGTTTTCTCTCCTTCGCCCCTGTTGTCCGACTCCTATTCTGGGTATCATTTCATTGACTACTGTGGCTTACCCTTCCAACCCCATCTCCATCTACCGCACTGGGGACCCCTGATTAATGCCCAACGGCCACGAGTGCCAAAGAAGGCCAGGCCACGAAAGCGACCCTCAATGTGGGAACATACCAGGGCTATACCGCAATGACGCACATGCCAGGTCTGATGGTGCCACTGGCTTTGTAGTGTAGTGGTCATCACTCGGGATTTTGATTCGGTGGACTCTTTCCCGAAACCCAGGTTCGAACCCTGGCAAAGCCTACCTTTTTATGGGCCATTCCAATAGTACAAAGCTACATACGTCCATTTCCTCCGCTTGACGCTCTTGAAGCCTTCGAAACTATTTCGTTATCTTCCGGTGATTGTGTCGGCCTGTGCCTACCCCCCCAATGTTGGTGGTCCAGCTGGTTTGGCAATTGAAGCTTGAAGTCTCGTCAAAATGCCGGTTTCTCAAACACTCTAGGAGGAAACTTCCCGGACAAAGCATTTTCGTCGTTTTACTTACAATATTGCCGTTCGACTCTTGCGTTTGCATCTACGACGTTTTGTGCTTCACTTGTACACAGTAATACGGTGGTCTACTCTACTGACTCAAATGGATATGCATCAGGTTATAGATTGTATACACGAGTCTACTCGACGGCTTGCACACCGTCGTATACCTGAAGGCGTGTGCATGCGTCTTCCCAAGTGAGCGTTCCCTGGACCAGGTCTGTTACTACCGCGATGACGTCGTCGATAGATCCTATGAGTTGGTCGGTCGTATCGCGTTCACTGCCATGGAGGGACAACAAAGTGTTAACGGCGTGCTCGTGCTCTGGAGTGGACGAATTCCATATATGACTTACCGGAGTGTCATCGTCCGGTTTTGAAGTGCTGCAAGTGAGACTGTTAATCCGGCATGCGTTCCTTCAGTGACGACCACCTACAGGCGAAATCGAGCGTGACACCAAATGGCGTGCCAAGCTCATCATTGCGGGCATACCGTTTTCCGATCGACGTATTGGAATCGTCGACGCGGGAGAATATACCACCTCTGCGGAGTTTCGTAGCTGGATGTTATGTGAACCCAAGTTCGGCGTGAAGTTGACGAAGTACGCACAAACTTCCTCGATAAGTGGGTCGAATTCTTCTTTCGCACTCAGAGGTACTATGAGGACTTTTGTTGGCGCAACTAGAGGGGGCAGCGAAAGAACCTGCATGGACGTTGTGTATCATGGCGATAGCAAGAACAACGCGTGAACCCTTACACCACGTTCGACATCCTGTTCCCTGCACCAAAAAGAGTGTTCAAGAAGCGAATATAAAATGCGTCCGAAGCCAAACGACGGCTCGATAACATTCGGAGTGAATTCGCGGACTTGAAGCACGTTCGGATCGGCAGGAGAAGAATGACCAGATAGAACTCACTGGATTGTTTAAACGTCCTTCGTTCTATCGTGAGTAGCTCAGGAGTGAGAACGATTTGTTTCTCGTCCGCAGGTATTGTCGTCGACCTGTCCACGGACAAGGAAGAAGGATACGATGTCTAGCAAATTACGAAAGATACGATTCGCTGGTGAAACTTACCCCTGGGATAACTCTCCCTTCAACCTAACGAGCTCTTCCTGACTCATCTCCCCAACGACACGTTGCACTAGGCCAGCATCCCGACCGAGTGTCTTTCCAAGGACTTTTTTGTTGAATTCGGGTACTTCTCGCTCGGTAACTATTGGCTCTTTGAGGGCTTGACGGACGACCAGTGGATGTCCAGTGCGTGCCGAATGAACTGAAAGATCGTAAGCAGCGCGGTCGGCACAGCCGACGCACTCTATCCAGCCGGAAGAATTCTCGATTTCGGCATCCCAACAATCCGTTGCATAGTGTGCCATCTCGTTCGCCATGTGTTGCCTGAATCTTAGTCTTCGCGGGTCGATGCCAATCTTGAGCAAGAAGAGGTAGATACGGGCAAGGAAATAGCCTAGCGTTTCGTTAGCTACCATGCCCCTGTCGACAGCTTCACCGATGGACATTTGGGTCACCTGGACGGATCCAGAGAGCTGTACGGAGCGGTCGAGAAGGGGGAGTACGATGTAGCGAATATCAGGGAATCGGACATGGCCTTTGCTTTCAGGGTCGACGTAGTGTTCGATCTCGCCCATAGTGAACTCACGCACTCGAAGGAGACCGGCACGCGGAGAAATTTCATTCCTGAATGACTTCCCGATCTGGGCAGATGCAAAAGGAACCCGGCCATTGTTAAATTCGAGCAGGCGCGAAAAATTGAGGAAATGGCCCTGTGCGGTTTCCGGACGGAGGAAACTGAGAGCGAGCTATTAACGACGGCGGAAAAGGAGATCACGAGACCATACCCAGGATGTTGACCGGTGGGACCGATGCTACTCGCGAACATAAGATTGAACTGCTGGGGTTCGCCAACTTGGTTTCCGGTGTCTGGATTGCGGATATCGTGAGTCTTGCACAACTGACCTAGCTCCGGTCCAGAGTAATTGTCTAACTAAGTTACCCGACACATAGCGAACGCGTCAAGCACAAGCCATCAAGATGATGATAAAGAACGCACCCGAGCAAGGATGCTCTCGTACTCCTTCACGGTCTCGTCCGGCAACTGCACAGCAGCCGTCTTGACTTTCCTCTTCTTCTTCGTCTTCTCGTCTTCCTTGTCTTTGTCTGCTGCAAGGCCCCTTGCCTCCAAGTTTGCTGCGAGTCTCGCTTGGAGGACGTTTTTGACAAGGTGATCGGCACGAAGAACGTCTCCAGTTACTTCATCCTTCACCATCCAGTCAGCGAAGCGAGCGACGTGACCAGAAGTCTCGAAAACCGATGCAGGTGTTATGATCGTCGTATCGAGCTCAAGCATGTGATCTTCTACGATGAAATGTCGACGCCACTCGGCGATGATGTTGGCTTGAAGAGAAGAACCGGGGGGACCGTAGTCATATAACCCAGCTACGCCTAGAACTGTGGGTTAGTTGGGCAAAGGAGAGGGATGTCAGAGAAGACATGCCTCCGTAGATCTCGAACGCAGGGGCGTAGAAAAATCGACGATTGAGGAGAGCCTCTAAGCGGCTCTTATCGAACGGATGGGCAGTCCTGTTTACACTGGTCATGGCTGCAGTGTGGGCCAGACGGGCACCGATGTGGAGATGCGAGAACGATAGTATATTGGCAAGTCTGACTCGCCACATCCACTGCGACTACAAATCTCGGGCAAAGAGATAATTAATGCTGACGTAAGTACATAATGCACCGAACACTACAGGGTATGAACTGCGACCTGGTCCCCCTCCTCTAATCTTCGCCGTTTCCTCTCCAAGTACCGCGACCTCGCATCCTGGATATCGTACTCTGAGTTTCTCTTCTGTGCCACTCTCTGCGTAGCTTCCTCTTCTGCCTTGGCTTTCGCTTTCACTAACCGTTCCTGTTCCTCCTCCATTTGGCGGAGAACTTCTCGTGCTCGTCGTTCGTTGACCTCTCGTCTACTCGCAGCTGTTCCAACGCCTCTGTGTACGGCTAGTGCGGATTCATCTTGTCCCACCTTCCGCAGAGGCTGCTGTAGGCCCAAACGTCGCGTATTTGGGGCAGCGAGATTGAGACCAGCCGAAAGGAGTTCACGCTTGTCAACAATTATGTTGTCGTCATTGAGCTCCACGTCCTTCCCCTGTTCTTGTGCTATTCGTGCCAATTCAAGGTCTGACCGGGGAGCCATGTCGGGTGGTTTGGTGATCGTCAGGTTTGGACCTTGAGGACCGATGATTCGTTTTGGCGCAGATGCAGCTGCAACGGCCTCTTCATGCTGTTGCTCTGATTCCTCGAGTAGCTTGCGGTAAAAGTGAGCCATGCCAGTCGTTAGCCCTTTCTTATTCTTCTTCTCGGCCTCTAAAGCTTGGTTATAGTCAAGGTAGAGCGTGAGAGAGATACAAAACACACCTTCGCGTTGTCTTTCTTCTTCTTCGGCTTTCCGGACCTCTTCCATTTGATCCTTGTAAGCCTGCGTGACGAATGATTCCTTATCTGCGAATTCATCACCCTCCATCTGCCGTTCGTGCTGCAGCATCTTTTCCTCGGCTCTCAGGCGATCTAGTCTGCGAGTCGCAGCGGAAGTTAGCAATCCTTCGATATATTTCGGCTAGCAGAGTGTATCATGAAATGCCAATGGCCATCGAAGTATGGAACACACCTACTTTTACATCTGTTTTCTTGGTTTCCTTCTGTTTCTGTTTAACGTCCTGAATTACATCCCATACTTCATCATATTGGTAGGTCGTGGGGTCTAGTTTGAGCTCTTTCTCCATGCGCTTCTGCGCGGCCTTGGAGGACTCGACGTTCTGAGCAATCAACCTTTTGTTTGCAGAGACATCCTTGTTGTCTGTTGCGGTTGGCGCGGCGTCAACAGACACGTCGTCGTCGAGGGACGCGAAGGGTTTGAGGGGCGGGGCTGTCCCGGCTGGTTTCGCGCCCTTATTGGCGAGGGTGAAGGAGAACTTCATGAAGGTAGTGGATTACGTAAGCGAGCATCTTCCTTTCAACTCGACCGATGGCACAGAGCACTTTCGACCGGAGACGCGTCAATGGACCTGAGGAATCGTTTTCGCCTGTATTTGACGAAGAGGACGACGCTGAGCTTGGTTGGACGGTAAAGCACGGTCGAGGATTGGCGGACATACGACCTATCTGTACGACTTTGTTGTGCTGATCACCCGGCGTTGACGGCTTCATTGATCCAGTTTTGCAGCCAGGATTGGTGAGTCAGGCAAACGGTTCTGCATACATCGAAACAGAGAAGACCAAGCTCGCATGCGCGGTGTTCGTGTGTCGTACTCTACAGCCCCTCCGTAGTGTTGACCTTGGCTTCGTTCCAGGTACGGCCCACGACAGTCAAAAACGACAACATATAGTGAAAGGGGTCGACTGAACGTGGAAGTCAAGTTCGCGCCCTTCTCCTGTGTACGAAGGAGATCTCCACTCCGTGTACGTGCCTGGCATGACTTTCAGACTCGTTGATTGATTGGCCCATGAAGGATGCAGAAGACAGAGCTGTTGCCATCGCGGTCTATCAGTCAATCGTTTCGTCCATATGTTTGGAACTATTCCCGAAATCCACGATCGACGTCTTCATTGTTGTTATAGAAAATGACGGGATTGAGGGCTGCATAGCTTCCGGGTCGATCGCGGCAAGTACTGCTTTGGCTGATGCAGGTATCGAAATGCTGGGTCTCGTAGCATCCTGCTCTGCAGTGAGTTCGGCGACTGGGATGGTC